CTCTAAAACAATCCAAAATGACATGCATTTCATCCACTTTAACCAATTACTACCTATACTACTAAATGCAAAACTATAAAAACTTATAAACATTGGGTTGCCTCCCAACAAGCTCTTGTTTTTGGTCGTTAACTCGACGCATTTATTTATGCATAAATGTTCCTTCATGTTGCCTTTTTGCTTGACAAGTTGTTCACTAACGGCTACTCCTAACCAATCACTTTAGCGAACATGAAGGGAAACAAAATATATACAATATACACAAGTATAGAAAACATGTACAAAGAAAATATATACACTATAGACAACTAGTGAAAATATGTACAAATATACAAGTATGGAAAACATAGACAAGTAAATATACAAGTATAAATATACAAGTGTAAATATAATATAGACAATATGTACAAAGCTCATAAACATATAAATTATTGCAATGCTTTCAATATCTAAACACCAATCCCCGACAACGGCGCCATTTTGTTGTTATGGTAAAGCAACAAGCAAAGTTAAGTATTTTTATTTTATCATCTTCACATAGATTAGTGTGAGGGATTAAATGTCGTTCAATAGTCTCCGTGTTTCTGAGCTTGGTTTTGAATGGTTTAAAAGCATAAAGTGCAGAAAGTAAAACGTATGATCAAGGAAATAATGCATTCTTTAGAGAGGAGAGAACTCGTCGGGAGTGAATTTCATCTACCCATAAAATACTTAAATCTATCGATAAATTGTATGCAACCTAAAACACTCGTCAATATTATCATGTATCCCTCACACCAGTGTTCATGTCTGAAGCACCAACGAGAGTTCTACCGTATTGTCTCATTAGTGATGTATCACGCAACTAAACAACAGAGAGAACTAAGAACTGATACCCACTACGAATACTAGATATAAATCTATTTCTAGAGTTTAGAACCTAATATATGTTCATCCTAAATCCAAAGTTGAAGAGTATATGTTTATAGCAACTCAAATCCAAACATAAAGCAAGTAAACAAGGATAACATTGATATAGATTTGTAAAATAGATATTGTACAACGTCATGATCAATACATATACATAAAATCAAAGTAAACTTACAAATAAACCTCAACAATAAATAATACAAAGAGAAGAAGGAAAATTAACCGAACACTCTCGCAGTGTCAAGACGATTGATGCAAATCCAACTCTGGATCATCAAAATGCAACCTCTAATGATGTTTTCTAAGCCTCTAATATCAAAGAATGAGTCTGATGGAGTTGAGAGTAAAAAGCCTCAAAACTATAACCTAAAATTTATGAAAGAATGAATAAATAATGGGTCAAAATGTGAAATCATGCTCATCCCGTGCAGGAGGCGCTTAGCGCGACCGCGAAAAATGGTAGATTTTTACTGAGGATTCCGCTCAGTGCAGTATTTTGGTCTCAATGCACTCAACTGATAAAAAACAGCTAATGCCTTGACTGCGGTAGCATGCTTCAACTTGGGCTTAGCCCGCTTGACAACACTTTATTCAAAAACTTGCACAATTGAAGCCATGATTTTTCCTTTTGATTTCAATGCTTCAACCATGCATGAATACCTACAAAAATGAGATAAAATAAGCAATTGATACAATATTTATAGGGAAATGCAACTATACACAATATGTATATTTTTACATACAAGTTAAGGTTTATTTACGATATTCCAATTAAATAAAACAATAAGTTCAACAAAACTATACACAAATATAACTACAATTTGACACTTATCACCTTACCCCACAAACTCAATGACAACTATATAGTCAAATCAATTTTTATCCCTTGTCTTCAGTAAAACTCATTAAACTGCTCTAGAACAACCTCTAGGAACCCACAATGCCTTGACTTAAATCCCATAACTTATTCTTTTTATGAAAGTCTTCGCTAACTAATGATGAATGACCAACAACATTAGAATCTTATAAAGTTTATAAGTCACTTTTATAGACCCTTTAGCTATTATCGCTCCACCATGTGGAATCTTCAACACCCAATGTTCAACTATAATGCAATAGCCTAGATAATAAAACATGTCTATGGATAACATATTTTCTTGAGCTCTGGAACATACATCAGGTTGTAAAGAAGAAACTGATGATCATCACACATTTTAAGTCTAGTTATACCAATACCAAGAACCTTACAAGCCTTATTATTGCCTATTTGAACTACTCCAGCTTCAAATTTCCAAAGTATTCTTTTTCTTAAACAAATGTGATAAGAGCAACCTGAGTCCATGATCCATTTCTCTTCCAATTCCAAACTCGACATCTTTAGTTCACCAATACTTTCATAAATATCCTCATCTGAGGCAACTAAAATTTGAATATAATCATCATTACCCTTCCTCCCGAGACAACGTCTCATGAAGTGATATATTTTTGACAAAATGGATTTTAACTTTAACTTGTAAACCCTCTTTGATTTGGACATATCTATACGCTCACTTCCTCCTCTTAAGATACTCAAGACTTCACCACTATCGTCAATCTTTAAATCTTTCACCTTTGAAATTATTTGGATCTCACAATTGTTTATACTTCATCCAAAGTAATAGTATAATTCTTACTATAAAGAAGGGCATCCTTAAAGTGTTCAAAGAATTTGGGTAATGAAGAGGATCTATGTGGTTGTAGGTATGAAAAGGATGTTGTTGTCCAAGGTTGGCTGATTTAAATAATATCGTTTGATATATTGATCAAGTGATGTGGCTTGATATGTTAATCAATTGGTTGTTCTTGATATGACAATCAAGTGGCGGTGCTTGATATGTTGATCAAGTGGTGGTGTTAATATGTTGATCAAGTGGTGGTGCTTGATGATCAAGGTGGCATTTGTTAAGATGATCTAGTTGTGATAATTAGAATATTAAAACTCTTTTGTTGAGATCAAGTGATGATTAAGTTGATGTGATTAGAATACCAAAACTCTATTATTGTGATCAAGTGTTAATCGAAGTTGCAATTCTTAGAGATCAAGTTATCAAAGTCTATATGTGGAAGACAACACCTTATGTCAAACAACGTTATGTGAAGTCAATAAAGATTTTTGATCAAGCAATGTATCTGATGATGGTGCTTATATGTGGAAAAATTATTTGAGATACCTTTCTCTCACACTTATCTCTTTATCTCATACACACACACGCATACGTTTGACTTGTACTTTTGAGAGTGAAATTTTTATATATATGAAGTATTGTGGTATGGTGTAAGGGTAAAATTGTAAATTATCACTGGGAGAATTTTATTTGATTGTGAGCTAAACCAAGTAAAACCCCTGTTTTGTTGGGGAGGTCTCAGTTATTAAAACTTTAAGTCGGTTCATAAGATTAGCATGCTGTTAAAAGCTCTCAGTTGTTTGTGGAGGTCTCCGTAGTTAAAACTCTGTGTTGGTTGGAAAGTTAGCCAATGAAAATCTCTAATCCTTGTATAACGAGTTCATAGGCAAAACCTGTCAAAAGCTCTCATCATAGTGGAAACTCTAAAGAAAGAACAATTAGGGAGAGGAATATGTCACTCACTAGACAAAACCTCTATAATTTTCTGGTATTTTTCTCTCATCGCTTAACTATTTACTTTCTAGACATTTATTTTCAATGCATTTACATTTTCTTATTTTTGCGGATTTTACTCTGTTTTGTAAAAGAGTTTTAAACTTCGATTTTCTAAAAAAATTATTTTGAAAATGATTTTTCAAACCCATACAATTCACCCACTCTTGTCATTGGAGTCTCATGTTCAACAATGAGATCAACAAGAGTAGAGTCTTGTCTTTATCAATAATTTTCACCTCGATATTCTCTAGATCATAATTAATCTTCACCTCATCATTAATATCTACCATTGGGAATGAGTAATTTATTGCTTTAGACACAACCTGTGAGTCAAAGACTTGGTAATATAAAATAATTCAAGTTTCGCCTTCATGAAAGTCACACTTTTCTCCATTACAAATTTTCTTAGAACTTTATCTCTGAGACACAAGGTAATGACACTTCTGGTTTTATCCACCATCTCGGTTTTCCCTGTTTGTGTTAGGCGTGCTTATATTGATGTCACACCCCTCAATGCTTCAATACACTTTTCTTGAGTTAAAATTGCTTCCATTTTTACTCTCCACAATCCAAAATGATTATATCCGGAAAAAATCTCAATATGTCATTTGAAATCCATGGTGTTCACTTGCAAAAAAATTTCTTTGCCCCACGATGGGCTTCACTTGTGAAATTGAATGTTTTAATCACACCAAAATTTATGAGTGGAGACAAAGAATAATGACAACTAAAATTAGTGGTTCTTGACCAAATATTTCTCTATACAATAAGACAGTAACTTTTTTGGTCAAGTAGTCTAGTGGATGAAATTTCATCCTTTAAAGGTAAATAATTTCATTCATGCCTTCACAATCTGACATTCATGCACAATTATCAACTGAGCTGCCTAAATAGAACAATTAATATAAAAAATTACAAAAGACTTACAAGAAAATATTCACCCAATTCTCAAGAACAACTTCTATTTTCTATAAGTGTTTTTCAATTCCGTTAGACACCCCCCAAAAATTTCCACCAACCTTTGATTCTCCAAATTTTTCATTCCTAGGATTGCCACATTTTTCCTCTATCTTTAACTGTGTAAAGTTCTAAAGACTGTGATAACAAAAATGACAAAAGATGCATGTTTATAACTGCTGAACTCCAAAAAATCCATAAGAAGTCTAAAATACAACTCATTAACAAATGAATCCATGGATAGAAACGGAGAAGTCCAAAATACACAAGCAGAGAAAACTTGACAGGATGACTGAAAATCCAAATTGTCGTGGACTGACTTGAACTGCCGTTTGGCTGATCCATTGCCGTGACCGACAAACCCATCTGCCATGCGGATCCAGCACCTCAAATCAAATTCCCGACTATTTGAAGGATCATTATAAACTGAAGTTAATGAACAAATTCATAAAACTATACTAGTAACACATAACTTTATACTGATACATTTTTAAGTGCAGAAAAGAAAAAAAGATCTATATCAGGTGAAGAAAATAAAGCTATTGGTGATCTATTAATGGATAAACATACTCCACTCGAAGTAACTCTTCTCTTCTTAGGTGCTGGTGGACATGTCAACACTTGAGGTATTCTGTACCTTTTTGCTTTTGGTGTACAACAACCACTTGATGCACATGTTACATTTTTCTCTCTATCTTCAACCTTGTTATGATCATCACTCACAACAACTTCTGTGTTTTCAACTGAACAAGTACTAATAACTTCTCTAGCAAACTCATGACAATAACTCCTTTTCTGCTTTCTATCTTCAACCATCACTTTTTGCAGCTTCATTCTACTTCTTGTACAAACTGGTGCCATTTTTTATCTCTCAATATGGTTTCTTCTGAAAACTCAAACTCAGTTGTGTAATATATATTGGTAGATAAATAAATAAATATATAAATAAATAACATAAGTCAGCACTCACACAGCACAGAATTAATATATATATCTTGATTTTGAAACATCACAGAATCTTTGTGGTATAAAATAAACTATTTGAAGGGTTGAAAGGTTATGTCATGTGACATAATATAACTGTTATATAAAAAAAAGAGTAAAGATAAACACTAGTATTAAAGTAACAACTACTGCCACTAAAGAGATTAAAAATTTTGAATATACGTAATTCAACCAAATCCTTTTTGAGGTCTCTGAGAGGCAGTTTAATAACTTTGTATGAACATAAAGCTCAACCTTCTTCTCCGGGTTTTATAAGGTTACCCTACTTTGAGTATATTATTTAATAGCAAAAGTGTCAGAAAAGACACAGAGAAAGAGATCTCATCTTTATGGTTTTGTACACTTCATCTTTATGGTTTTGTACACTTCGTCTTTATATATTTTAAAATTTTATAGTTTCCATATTTTTAACATTTATCTCAATTCTAAGTTAAAATAATTTTAAAATAATAGTTTTGGTTATCAAAGAAATTAGGTTTAAATGTATGATTCCTATGTTTAGTCATATTTTTTATTTTATTCCTCACTATAAAAATTACTATTTTAATTTATATTTTGTGTTTGAATTTAGTTTCTCATTCAATTTGGTGTTTATTTTCAGTGACGTGACGTGATTTTAATTGAGTTGATATTTTGTAATTGTATCCACGTCATTTTTATCCATAAAAAAAATTCACTATTGCATTAAAATTAAATATTATTTATGATAATTATTTTTCACCAATTAGTTTAATTAGAAAATGTGAGTGTTACGACCATGTTACCACAACTCTGAAAATGCAAGTGTTAAGAAAATAAAGAAGAACCCAGGAAGAACACACGAAGAACCCTAAGTGATCTGATACAACCCATCACTAACCCATGTTAAGTTTCCTGCTTCGATCGGTTTCCTTGTGCGTTTACCCAAGTCAAGATATGGCAAATCCAAGTTACGTTTCGAGGTAAGTATTACGATCATTTTCTCTAACCCATCAGTTCTTTCTATTTCTTTGTGCGATGACTATGAAATAGTGTGCTCCTTGAAATGTCTCATTTTGTTGTGGTTCTAGATGGTAGTTTTTTATTTGATTTTGTTGTGGTCCCAAATTGTGTTTTGATTTGATTTTGTTGTGGTCCCTGATTGTGGTCCCTGTTTGTGAATTTATCATGTTCTGTTGCAGGTTATTCGAAATCCAACTTGTCATACTTCGAATACATCATCGGGGATGTTTTGTAGATGATCTAGTGAAGTTATATCTTGGTGAGCTTGTTACTGAAATGGATTGAGACTGGGATGTGGACTTTTTGTCATATATGTAAATTGAATATTTGATCAACAAGGGTATTTTAATATAAAGTGTCTGTGGTATTGGAATCTAAACTTTTCGTTTTCCCATGGACTTAGGAATTTGAATAATGACAGTGACGTGTTAAGGTTTGTGGAAGATGTTAGAGGATTTAAACTCATTGATATTTATGTTGAACACAAGGTTGAAGAAGTTAGTATTGATGATGTTGTTTTTTGGGAGGAAGAAAATGCGGAGGTGGAGGTTACTAATGAGACTGCAAATAAAGAAGAAAATGTGGAGGTGGAGGTTACTAATGAGGCTGCAAATGAAGAAGAAAATATGGAGGTGGAGGTTACTAATGAGGCTGCAAATGAAGAAGAAAATGTGGAGGTGGAGGTTACTAATTAGACTGCAAATAAGGAATAAAATATGGAGGTGGAGGTTACTAATGCGACAGCAAATGAGGACGAAAATGTGGAGGTGGAGAACTGAGAACAAATGATGAATCGAGAAAAAGAAATATATTGCCTAGAAGTCTTCAAACTGTCAAGTACAAGAAATGTTGTAGTTTTAGCCATAACAAGCGAACGTGTAAAGGGAAGAGAGCCGCAGAGAGAGTGATTCCTAGAGGTGTTAATAAAAAGGCGGAAAAAAGGTTGACAAGTTGAACAAAATGGATAGACAAACAGTTTGAAGGAAGGTCACCAGAACCACCAATAACCTAATAATAGTTATGATGTTGCTATCATTTTTGTGTTATGCTACTATGCTGCAATTATGGTTATGTTGTTGTTATCTTTTTTGTGTTATACTGCAATATTGTAGTTATGATAATGTTGTTATGCCTAAATTGTTATGTTGCAGTTAAGTATTTTGTAATGACCAAACATTAAGGTCACTTTTCTTGTTATGTTATAATGTTGTTATGTTGTTGTGTTTTTTGTAATGGTTATCAAATTCCCAAACAAAATATGTAATAGTTATTACAATGGTTATATTATGTAATGGTTGCAAGTTCATAAATTATGGTAACATTATGGAAAAATTACTCTCAAAACAGGTCCATAAAGTACTCTCAAAATAGAGTATAAAATTACAGGTGAAGAAATTATGGTAACATTATCACTACAATAAAATTGTCAGATTGCGACTGTTATTTTGGCAGATTACGACGGTTAAAGCTACCGCAATTTGCTATCCACGACGGTTACAATGTTGTCGCAGAAACGTGTGTCGCCAGGCTGTATTATGACAGTTTGGAAACTTGTCACTCCAACTGTCGTTACTATTTATGACGGTTAATTAATTACATTTAAAACCGTCGTGGACTTTATTTGATGTTTCATTTTTAATGCAGATTGAGACGGCTAAAACTGTTGTGGACTTTATTTGATGTGTCATTTTCCATGCAGATTGTGACGGTTTAAAACCGTCATGGGCTTTATGTGATGTTTCATTTTCAATGTAAATTGTGACGGTTTTAAACCATTGTGCGATTCAGTACCATCTACGGGGGTTTATAACCCCCGCTAAATTAATAAATTTTATTTAAAAAATCTGAATATCAACAAAAGTTCTCATATTTAACGAGAATATCAATAACCTTCATTGTCATTCCTGAGTACAAAGATTAGTTTTAGATTTAGAATTGAATGGAAAAAAAAAAGAATGTCACCCTAAACCAATCTAGTAACAAGTTCTTTTGCTTCGAAGACAAACGACAACATATAACATACATGCATCATATCGTAAGTTCTTTACATCATCTTCTGTCGTATGAGCAAGAGACTTTTTGTCAACGATCAAAGCTAATGCCTCAGAGTTACCGTCTGATGATGAATGCCTTTGCCTCTGTTATTTGACAAAAAACACTTGTTGTAGACAGTTTGCCGATGCCTTAGGCCAATCATCCTAATACCTATTACAGGGGCAACACTAATCTAAATTATCAAATGCACTAAAATACTACCAAAAGCATCATGTCTTGGATAATTATATAGTCAAACATGTTTGACTTTGAACATAAAAAATGACAGCAAGTACACATACCCTACAAGGTCATGGCCATTTAGATTCACTTATATTAAATAAAGTTAAGTCATAGCTTGAGATTTCTCGCTTTCATCTCCATTCATTTTAGTCTTAGCCTGAGATTTAAGGACCAATATGTACTGGCCTGCAAGAACATTAAACACCATTCATTTGAGTCATAGTTTAAGATCTCTCGCTTTCATCTCCAAACTTGACGAACAAAAAATAACAGATCAAGTGATATACATTCAAAGTTTGGCATAAAAAATTGGTTTTGACTTCTTTTAAAGACAACTTTCGCAATTGGTTCAAAACCACTCTGTCAAAAAACTAAATCAATTCTAAAGGAGTAAATCTGGATAATCTGACTATCAAAAATCAAACCAGTTTTGAAATTCAGTCAAATAAATATGCATTTAATAAGTACACCTCTTAATGTGTTCACACTTTACTTGAAAATACCAATAACCTAAGTTGACAAAACATGCTAAATGGTTTGAAGAAGAACAAACCTGTAAATGATTTTAACATGTAAATAATTTATTAACAAAGGTTTGGGCTCAAAACAAACTTGGATGGCTTAAAAAGCTTTCCTACATCATAAACACTCCTCTAAGGTTAATAATGAATCTATAATAATTTAAGAATAGTGGTATGTTACAACAAAATTACCATCTCCACAAAACAGTGATAACTTGTTTGTATTTCTTGGCTTGAACCACTTCAGTAGCAAAAACTTAGTCATGGCGTATCCATCATAGTCAAGATCTAGTTGACCATCTAAAAATTTAGTTGCGTGTTCATGAAAAAATGCAAAGAACAATCCATAAAATCTTGTAACTCTATTTGTATTTCATTTGGTTTATTTTGACATTATGACAGCTAGACCTTTTCTACTATAAAGTGAATTTCCTATAAAGAATTACATATACTTTAGTATATGGTTGGATGTTTTTTAAACTATAATATCTTAGGTGCAGTTCATGTAGTTTGAGAATTAGTTTTTAAAATATTTTCCTTATACTTTTGTGTATTTTGTGATAGAAATAAGAACGATGGACGCTATAAACCACCACACTTACTAGTACTCCTAATGAATATTGAAAATCAGTGATGATCCTTTCCGGGATACCGTACCGACAAATAAGATTCTGCTTGATGAAGCGGACAACAATATTCTTAGTAACGGATGCGAAGGAAGCTGCTTCGATCCATTTGGTGAAGTAGTCAATGGCCACAAAAATGAAGCGGTGTCCATTGGATGTTGTAGGCTTGATCTCCCCAATCATGTCGATTCCCCACATAGCGAAAGGCCAAGGAGCTGTTAGGAAATTTAGAGGAACTGGGGGCACGTGCACCTTGTCTTCATAGATTTAACATTTGTGGCATATCCGAGAGTGTTGATAGCAGTCAGCTTCCATGGTAGACCAGTAATAGTCTGCCCGTAGAATCTTCTTTGCCATCGTATGCCCGCTAGAGTGAGTGTCGAAGGTACCCTCATGCAATTCAGCCATAATCCTTCCAGCTTCAATCTTGTCCACACAATGGAGCATAATA